AGGGGCACTTGGATGTCATTTTCTGAGGAAGAAGAATATGTAGACGCTGGGGTTGGGGAATCCCCCAGAAGCGCTCTATGCCTGCTGTGATTCCCAGAGAAACGCTGTATGGGCAGCGAGCTTCCTCAGGAACCAGGCTCAGCAGACGGTGGTGGCAGAGGGCTGGAGATGCTGCTGGGTCAGGGACATCCTGAGGGGTGCACCATGAGAGCAGAGTATATGAAGACCAAGGCTTTCACCACTTGCATCCAAATGAATAATAGAGGGTGACCAGGGAAATAGCTCAGTAGAATAAGTGCTTGCCTGGCAAGCGCAAGGGCCTGTGTTCAATCCCTGGTCCTGCTAAATAAATAAATAAATAAATAAATAAATAAATAAATAAATAAATAAATAAGATGAATTATGCTAAGGAAGTACTTATTCATTTTTTATTGTGCTCAGTTGGTTTTCTTATTAATACTGTGCTAAAAAAATCCTTTGTCTTTTTCTTAGTCATGGTATCTTTTTTTTTTCTTGCCCTAAGTATTTTTCCTTGAAGGAAACAAGCCACTGATGTTTTCCCCTTCACTTCACTTCCTCTCTTTTCGCTCCTTCCTTCCTGTAGGTCATGCAGCCCAGTGGACGGGCTGAAGGGCCTGTTTACTTAGCTGAAATCCTCCTGTTCTAGCTGCTGTGTGTGGTTTTCCCTCCTGTCCCGAGTCCTTGTACAGATGAATGCTATTTTAGTGTCTGTAGGTGTGTGTGCATATTTTAAACTGTAAATGGAAAAGTTAGAGTTGTATATCTTTATGGGGTACAAGGCAATGTTTTGATTTCTGAATACAATTAAATCAAGCTAACTGGCATAGCCATTTGACACGGGAATATGATATCAGAACCTCTAAATGATACGGGAAATATAATTCTCACCTATTAAATGTCTGATTCGCCAAGTTTGTGTTCTCTAAAATTGAAGAATGAATTCTAGGAAGAACAGAGCTTATGCGTAGGAAACTTTATTCAGGGATAGAAAGCTCCTGCCTGAGAGGGATAGGATACTTGGAAAGTGGGTTGACTGAGGACCCCACTTCCTAGGGGAAATTTTATGGAGCTCAACCACATGGATATGTGGGTTACAGCTATGGCCACCCGACAAGATTGTAAGTATAGCTGCTTAGGAAATATTGACCCAGTGGAGAAGCAGGTCATGTAGCAATTGGGCATGGAAAGAACAAAGATCGACTTGGGTAGGTGATGGATCCAGGGTCCTTGGTTGCCTGCTGAGGTGACCGATATCTATCTAGGCTTTATTAGGTCAGATTGTCACTGATCCCACCCCCTGGGGAGTATGTAGGCCTGGTCCCTTTGTTGTTATCTTGAGGCCTGCCCTCCAGCTGATGGGTCTCTGGCCATAGTTGGATTGTGTTTTCACCTTTTGTCTTGAGTCTTTCCATGGCCCAGCTCTATCTGCCTACAATATTCCTACCTAACTTAGCTGTCTATTACACGTGGACATCAAAAAATTAATTTTTCTATGGTGAAAACATTCAAAATTTACTCTGGGGGGATTTGAAATGTGCAATGCATTATTTACTATATTCATCATGCTGTGCAGTGTATCTCAAAAGACTTTGTACCCTTTAACCTGTGTCCCCCCATGTCTGGTCACCCCCATCCTACTCCCTGCTTCTCTGAGCTCCACCAGCTTGGGTTCTGCCAGAAAACAAGAACAGACCTAATTGGTCTTTCTGTGCTTGGCTAACTTCAACTTGCATATCCTTCTTGGCCTCAATCCACATTACAAAATTTTCTTTGTAAGGCTGATGGTGTTCCACGGTGTACAACGTGGGCTGTAGGCTTGCCACCATTGCCATAGTGTAATTATACCACATTTTTTTAATCCATTCATCTGTCAGTGGAGACCTAGGTTGCCTCCTCAGCTGAGCTGTCTGGAATAGATCTGCAGAGCACATGGAGTGGGTACGTCTCTTTGACATGTAAATACCCAGAAGGGGTTTCTGGACTGGACTGTGCAGCTGTTCGCTGAGGTACCTGCACTGTTTTCCATAACAGCTATACCATTTCCATGTCTCCCAAAAGTGCACGGGCCGTATACAAGTGACACCTCCAGCTTTGCTTCCTTTGCTTGCAATCACCTTGACTATTCAGGTTTTTTATTGTGTGGCTCTATAAACATTTTTAGGATTGTTTTTCCTATATCTATGAAAAAACAACATTGCAGTTTTGATAGGAAATGCATTTTTCCCCACATCCTTACCAACAGTTCTTCTTTTGTCTTTCTAATGGTTATTTTGGCAGTTGTGAGGTGATACTTCATTGTGATTTTAATTTGCATTTCCCAGTGATTAGTGCTGTTGAGTGTTTTTTCATATACATGATGGCCATTTGTATGTCTTTTAGGAAATGTGTATTTGGATCCACTGTTTATTATAACTGATTCTTTTCTTTTTCAAGAGTTGAGTTTCTCCTCCTCTAGTGAAGATACTAACTTTTCAGCAGATAAGTGGGTTGCAAGCATTTTCTCCTACCCATTGGTTGCTTTATTTATGATACAGAAGCACTTTATTTTAGTGTTTTAGTTATCCTTTTAAAAATTTATTTGGTACAGGGTCTCACTACACAGTTCAGACTCATAGTGATCCCTGTCTCAGCCTCCTCAGCACTGGGATTACAGGCGTGTGCCACCATGCCTGGTTTCAGGGCTGGCACAGCATGCCAGGTATTCCGGGGCCAGCACAGCATGTGGTTACCAGGGGATCAAACTCAGGTACCTGCGGTTGCCAGGTAGGCGCTTAGACCGCTGCACTATCTCCCCAGCCCTAGTTATCTATTTTTATCTGTTCTGTTTTTTGTTATCTAGTTTTGCTTTGGTTGCCTGTGTTTGGAGAGTCCAATATAAAAATTCATTGCCCAGACTAATGTCATACAGCTTAGGTGCTTTGTTTTTTTTTTTCCTTGTATAGTTGTAGTAGGCTTTATTTTTCAAAACATTGCATATACAGTACCACACCACTGCTTTCTGGTTTCATGATTTCTGTTGTAAAGATCAGAAAGGTCCTGATTTATTCCTTATGACAGCATAGTATAGTGGTCATAATGAGACAAACTGAATTCAAACTCTTTCTCTGCCACTTACTGATTGTATAGCCTAAGGCAAGTGGCCACCTGTAGGCTTAAGTTTCATCTCCTATGAACTTAGAAGGGATTGCTATTGCTGTAAGCATGAAATAAGGTAAGATGGATAGAAAATAATTGGCATAGTTCTAGACACATAGCGACTACTTCATAAATTATATCAATAAATTCCATTATGAAGAAAACCATACATGAAGTTCATCAAGGTACAGAGAAAACAAATCCTTAAATAAATTTCCTGATTAATAACAAGTAAAGAATTCCTTGTGTCCAAGTGAACTCTTCCAGAGCTGGAGAATGCTTCATTCAGCCCATGGATGCTAATAACAGACTGCGTTTCTGAGCCTCTGATCCTTCCTCTACACTTGATATGACGCTGCTCACGCTGGCAGATCCCTTCTTCTGAACTGCTCCGCCTACTGATTTACTCAGCTCTAAGATTTTCTCTCAGTGGGATTGCATCGTATAAAGAATCAAATGTCTTGAGTTCAACTTCTGCCCCCATTTTGTTGCCACCTACATTTATTTTAATGTTTCTTCTGCAGTTTCCTCATAATAAATTTTTTTTCCTCATGATAAATTTTGATTAGAAATAAGCTCTTTTTAAGTGACTCCAGTTTGCTTTTTCCCTGTGTTCAAATTATTCCACTCATCCCTCAAACTGTAACCTTCTTTGCTCTGGATTGATTTTCTCAATCTGTGCATAGTTAAAGTATAATCATACCTTATATTAGTTATCTGTATCTTCATCATTTTATTAGTTTAATGCTGTTTATATGAAGAATGTTTAATGCCTTTTTAATGATTACTGAAACAAACAATTGGTGATTTTATTTTTTATGTATTTAGTACAGAGTCTACAGGTTCTCACTACACAGATGGGACTCATAGTAATCCTCCTGTTTTCAGTCTCCCAAGTGCTGGGATTATAGGCATGCACCACCATACCCAGCCTAGGTGTTTCCTCCTGCCCCCAATAGTTTCATAGTTTCAGGGCTAGATTTAAGTCTCTAATCCAGTTTGTATTCATTTTTGTATGTGGAATGAGATCATGGTCCAGTTCTCCATGTGGATACCCACTATTCTCTCCACTGTTTTTGAAGAGACAATTTTTCTCCATTGTGTGGCTGACACCTTTGTCAGTAATAAGTTGACTACAGATATGTGGGTTCATCTCCAGGCTCTATCCTGTGTGGTTTTTTATGCCTATACCCTGCTGTTTTCGTTACTCTTCACATGTAGCTTATTGAAAAGTCAGGGAGTATAGTGCTTCCAGCTTTGTCCTTTTAGTTCATAATTATCTTGGTTATTCAAGGTTTTTTGTAGTTCTATGTGAATTCTAGGAATGACATTAAAATTTTGATAGACATTGTTACTATGGACCTTTAAACAATATTAATGCTCCCAGTGCATGAACATATATTTCCATTTGTTTGTGTCCAAATGTGTGTATTTCCGTGATAAGTTTGGTAATTTAATCACAAAATATAGTTTAAAATTATGCCTTCCTTACCCATTAAATTAAAGTTATTTTTGGGACGTCTCACTATGCAGTTCGAGCTAGCCTCACATTTAGTGATCCTTCTACCTTAGCCTCCTGAGTGCTAGGATTACAGGTGTGCACCGCCATAACAGAAAGTTATTTATATCATATAAATTCTAACCAACTGCTTCTCTAAACACCCTTAGTCACCTACAGTGAGTTGTTAACACTACCAAAGTGAGCACAAAATTCAAGACACCAAATTTGTGGGAATCTAATTTTACTTTGGATATTGCCTAAGAAATTTGGGGCTCACTGTGGGTGGGTGCTCCTGTGCTCACTTACAGCTCCTAACTCTGCACTATGTGGTCCTTTCATTTAGGTTTTACTTCCAGGGACCTTGTGGGACGACGCTTCCCGAGGCCCTTGCTCCTCATGAAGCTGAAACTACTTAAGTGTCCAGAGGGAAGAAGAGAGGACCCAGCCACAGACAGGAAAAAACATGAGGACGGTGTGCTGCAGATCCAAGATCCAAATGCTCTGCTTCCTTGGTTGGGATCCGACTATTGCTAAATTACTGGGCTTGGGAGAAGTCAAAGAAATATAAAGTTAAAGATGTCTGTTAGGTACTGAAATGTGTCTTGCATTTGTGCTTGCTTATTGGGAAGGAACAATTTGTAATGAGATTGTCTTTAAAGTATTGATTATCCTGATGTATTTTTCTCTTTGGAAAAGATAGAAGGGTAAAAACCTGGCATTTAATTCTGAATTCTGCACCAGTGTTAGGGACTTTATGATATAAGGATGTTATCTCAAGAGAGATCTTTTGAAGGCCTCTCTCTTTTCAGTGTTTACTTTGTTTAGCTGCCTTACCTCAAAGAACAGGACTAAGTTACAAGAACTCAGGAAAGTAAGGAGGAAGGGAGGGAGGGAAAGACAGGGTAGAAAACCAGGATGAGCAAAAAGAACAATCAGCCGAGGATCAACATGGGTATCTATGGTATTGTGTCAAATTGTCAGATTTTTTTTTTAGCTTGTTTATTAGGTACTGGGTCTCCCTAGCAACTTGTACTCCTAGTGATCCTCCTGTCTCAGCCTCCCCAGGGCTGGAATTATAGGCATGAGCTGCCACGTCAGATTTTTGGTGGTAGGCATGGTGTCTAGGGCCAGCACTGCAGTACCAGGGATTGAATCCTGGTCCTTGGGGCTTGGCAGGCAGGCACTTAGACCACCCTCTCCCCCAGCTATCTCCCCAGCCCAAAACACTCTGTCATTTTAATAAGCCCAGAGGTCCTTTGATCTAGAGAGGGCGGTTTGAGGGCTTGATTCTCCTGTTGAGGGAGGGTCTAGAGCTGAGTAAAGCTTTCTAGTATTTACAGTGCAGCTCTTGAACACACTGAACTGCCACACACCTTGAGCTGCTCGGCCCCTAGGCTTCTCCAAGTCAGCTGCAAACACTGCCCTGGTGTGGTGGAAGGCAGCGGGCTGTCCCCGGGAGTCTACAGACCTTTCTAAGCTGGAGTTTCTCTCTGACCCAGAGCTTACAGACTTGTTTGGGTACTAGCAGATTTGTTTGTTGTTGCGTTTGTTTTTGTCTTTTTGAGACAGGGTCTCATTATGTAGTTCAGGCGCTCTTTATAGTAGTCCTAGCTGGCCTCAAACTCGCATAGATCCTCCTGTCTCAACCTACCGAGTGCTGGGGTTACAGGTGTGCACCACCATGCCCAACTGTTATGCTTTGTCATTACTGTTCATATTTGGTTTTGTTGTTTTTAGAGTGGGAATTGATAAATGATAAGCAAGACCTGGGCCTCAACCTGAAGCCCCAGAACAGTTGACCAACCGACCACCCCGCGCACTACTGTACGGTGTGGGAGCTGTGGTACTCGAAGTTTGTGGAAGATTCAGAGAAAAGCAATTAGAGATGGGCAGAGTGGTGACGGAGTTGGTGGATGTTGAGGTGCTTGAATTCAACCCGGGCGGAAGGTTTTTTTTTTTTTTTTTCTTTTTTCGGGCGGAAGGTTTTCAAGTGTAAATAAGCTTTCCAGACGCAGCAGCGCTTCCAAATGCGTGGAGAGTGTGGTGCGTGCAGAAAAAGAGCTCATTCAGCATTCCACATGGGGAGGGGGCGCACGCGCGCACGCACGCACGCAGGGTGGCCGCCAAGTGAGCGGCTCTCGTTCTTCGCACAGATATTTGGTCTGTGCATCGGGCCGCCTGGGCTCCAGGTCGCGGGGTCAGAGCCGGAACCGGGGCCACAGCGACCGCACAGCTTCCGCGACACCCGACTGGGACAGCACGGAGGGCACGCTGGGGCCGAGGACGCCGGCCCGCCTCCGACCCGTCGGCGTCCTCCCGCCAGCGCTGACGAGGTGGACCGACCGCGCGGGGCCGATGCTCGCGGGGCGGTGACACAAGTGACAGCCTGAGGATAACGGGCCTCTGGGCCAGAACGACACCTCCCCTGCGGGCCGGCGGGGCAGCGGGAGGAGGCGCCCGCTGTCCCAGGCCACGCCCCGGCTCGTTCTGCGCAGGCGCCGCCGCCTCTCCTCGGGCCTCCGAACCTGCAGGCGGCGACGGGATCCAGCCGCGCGGGGTCGTTCGCGTCGCGCTCTGCTTACGACTCCTTCCGGGTCAGAGGTCAGAGGGTCCGGGGCCCGCTGCCAGCATGGTGCAGCTCCGGCCGCGCGCCTCCCGTACCCCCGCGTCGGCGGAGGCGATGGTAGACGAGGGCCAGGCGGCCTCGGAGGAAGAGGTGGAGCATGGCCTACTGCTCGGGCAGCCCAGCAGCGGCGCGGCCGCGGAGCCTCTGGAAGAAGACGAGGAAGGGGACGAGGAGTTCGACGACGAGGCCCCGGAGGAGCTGACTTTCGCCAGCGCCCAGGCGGAGGCGAGAGAAGAGGAGCGGCGAGTGCGCGAGACCGTGCGCAGGTTCGGAGCCCGCGGCCGGCTGGGCAGAGCGGGCTGACTGCCCCCGCGCTGACTTCTCTCCCTTCCTCCAGGGACAAGACGCTGCTGAAGGAGAAGCGGAAGCGGCGCGAGGAGCTTTTCCTCGAACAGAAGGTGAGCGGGCGGGGCGTCTCTGTTTTGAAGCACCGCGCTGGGTTAGATTGCCGAGCTTGGCGCGGTTCGGGCGAGCAGGAAATGGGTGTGCGGAGCATGGCCGATGCTGGCTCCTCACTGCCCACCCGTTGGCGAGGGGCGTGAGGGCCCCAGCTCGGACACTCGGCTGGCCCTGACCCCACACTGAGCTGCATTCCCTTCGCCGCAGAGTGTTTATTTAACCCGAACCTGGGAGGCTGTGAGAAATAAGATGATCTGGGAAGTGAAACGCTCCCGATCCCGCTACGGTTGCTTTGCTGTCTGACGCTTGGCACCCTTGCCACGGCGCCCTCCGGACATGGTGGAAGCGGCTCTGCGTGCCGCGGCGCCTGGGGAGCGGCGAGGCAGGGCTAGGGACACTGCCCTTAGAAAGTGGTAATTTAAGAAGTAACTCCAGATCAAGCTCTCCGTGCAGCGTTTTTGTTGTGATAGCATCTCAATGCGTAGTGTAAGCTGCCCTAGAATTCTCGCTGAGCCCCTTGCCTCCGCCTCCCAAGTACTAGGATTACAGGCTGGTGTTAAGCGCTTGTACTCCCGTGCCCGGCTTGTACCTAAATTGTAACTTTTATGTGTCTTTATTTTAAAAGAAAAGAAAACTCCTTCCAGACACTATTCTAGAACAGCTAAGTACAGCTGCACAGCCTGGGTAAGTAGTGGCACCCTTTTGCATTACTTACTTGTAGCCGTATTTGAATTACTGAGTGGTACCTGTATTTGCGCCCATGTGATGGGAGAAAACTCACAGCCTAAATTAAACAGCTACAAAGTGGTGTTCGGAAGATGGACAGATGGGAATGGTCCACTTTGTCTTCTGCCATTTCATTTTTTCATTCCTGTAGTTAATTGTAGCTTGAGTTCCTGATCCCAGTGTCTTGTGCAAATTTTGAGCGCTTGCAGTTGGGGGAGGTCAGAGTGCAGTACATGAGTGTCGTAGAAGTCGCCAGTGAGTGGAATGCCCCCTACCAGCTGCCTCACCTGCCGCTGCGCCTGATCTGCTTCCTGTCCCATTCGCAGCTTTGTCACACACAGTGTTGGGAAATGGTCCGGTTCTATTGAAGTTGGCTTCTAAATATTTGAGGTTTTCCCTGCTTAGCCTTTACTGCTTTCAGTTAACTTTAGTTCCCATTTAGATGGGCCAGTGGCCTTGAAAATTTCCGAATTTTTCCGGAATTTAGATCGAGTACATTAAATGTACAACAGTTGTTTGATGAGTTCGTTTTCATTTCTCCAAACCAAGTTCAGGGGTCACCTCTCGTTTCCCAGTCCACTTTCCCTTTGAGCCTTTCCTGTGTGCAGCATTATTGGCTGGCATTTGTTTCTTGACACTGATCCATGTCTCATCCTTGTCCCTTCATGTTTTCTCCAAGGATATTACAGCAGGCCTGCTTTTTACTTCAGAGTTTGAATACTGCATTCTCTAACTCATTTGTAATTTTAAGAACATGAGTATTGTCATCCTAGAGTATCGTTTGTTGATTGGGAGTTGGTGGCAGTGACTTGTGTTCTGGACCTGATGCAAGAGCTTGAGTAAAAACTGAAGGTGGTGGCAATGACAGGGGTAGTTATTTCTAAATAACAAGAATTGTGTAACATTTTAGTAATATTTACTACTTGCCATTCCATTAATTTTTTTTTTTAATTTTTTCCTTAGCATAAAGAAATCACCAGGAAAGCTGAAAGAAGGTATCAACTGTTCTCACTTAAGGAGTTTCCCTTTAAGTGTCAAGTGGCTTTGCAGATAGTGTACCCTGAGTAAGGCTAGCTTGTCCCTCATGTTTCCTACAAATAAAACTTGCATCCCTACTGGCGTGAGTGGATATTTAAAGTGAATTAGAGCTTCTGATTTACTTTTATGTAAATGCTAACTAGAAAATCAAACTCATTTTTTAGTGAATTTACAAAAGAAAAGTGAAGAATGTGAAAAAGGAAATGACTCCAAGAAAGTTAAAGTTCAAAAAGTACAATCTGTCAGGTAACACCCCTTTCCTGCCTGCTGCCACTGTGGGAGGGAAAGGGGACACCGTGGGAGAGATGCTGCTGTAGAAAAAGATTACTTTTGATGAAATACACATTTGCTGTGTAACAATAAGATACTCATGTTAACCTACTTGTAAAATGGCCTTGTAACTGTACTATCTGTGCAGAAACAAAAGTTCTGTTTTTTCACATTGTTTATAGACAGCAGATGAAAATTATTCTGAAAGCACACACTTAAGGGCTCAGTTCTGTGGCCAGCACATTCAGGGCCTTGGTTCAGTCCTCAGCACTGCAGAAAACCAAAAACCTGTGCTGGGTAGGGAATGCAGCTCTGTGATGAAGTCCTTGCTTAGCAGGCCTGCAGCCCAGCCCTGGGTTCTGTCAGCAGCCACCAGAGAAAAGTAAGTTGCAGGCTAGGCTTGGCATAAACCGTCCTCACTTACTCTGACTTTTTTGTTAACAGCCAGAAAAGCTACGTTGCTCTAAGGCTGAAGGACCAAGACCTGAGGGACTCAAGACAGCAAGCAGCTCAAGCCTTCATACACAATTCTCTGTATGGCCCAGGAACCAACAGAACTACTGGTAACTTCTAATGGTTTTTTTTTCTTCATTTCTTTTTCTGCAGAGAAAACAAATAACTGATAATTCTCTTTTAGTAAATAAGTTCCTGTCTCTTGACAACAAGAGGGCACCAGTGAAAAAGGCCGCAGCCCAGTTTTTGAATACTGCTTGGGGTAAGATTCAGCTTTATTCTCTGGGCTTTGATAATTCCAGTTTCTAATTATAATTTGGCCTATTTTAGTGTATCTACTCATAAATGAAGAGATTTTGAAAGAAATTATAGTTTTATGAGTTTTGACTAATATTTAATAGTCTTACTCCATAAAATTTTCTATTCTAGGAGTCCAGAGCAAACAAAATGCCAAGCGGTTTAAAAAGCGATGGATGGTCAGAAGAATGAAAACAACTAAGAAGTAAATTAAAGCTAAATGAGAAGTCTGTACCTCATTTGTAAAAAATTTACAATAATTTAGGAGGGTTAAACTCCAAAAGGCTCGTCGTCTAAATGGTCAGTCTGGGAGGTGCTTGGCTCCGTCCCAGCTTTCTGGAGTGCAGCCGTGCTTTGCAGTGTGGAGGGTCCTGCATGAAGGCAGGGTGGAAGCTGTGTTCTTTCCATCCACTGAACTGAACCACAGGCCATCCCACTTCAGTAAGGGTAACTGCTGGTCTCGCGATGGTGGCGTGTGCCAGGGAGGACAGGAGTGTGGCCCTTGGCAGTAGTGTGCCTCTGTGCCTCGGGTGAGGGAAGTGGTTATAAGATGTGCACAGTCTTAAGTGTAGTTAAGAAGTGTCTCTTACTAGAGAAGCCTCAGTGTATATGGCCCCTTTACCAAACACCAAAGGATGAGGCAAGCTGTCCAGATCAAAGTGTTTGAAGATTTGCTTGGCGGGCAAATTTTACATGACTATGAAGATAATAGTTTTCCTGTATCATGCTCAGTCTTAGGTTTGTCCTAATTGAAGGACGCCAGTACAGAGAGGGCTGTGTTAGGTTGTGGAACTCAAGATTGATGGCTAAAACTATCAGTATTACTTTGATTTATACAAATACCTGGCCGGGGAATGGCTCAGTGGAATAAACACTTCCCTGGCAAGCGCAAGGGCCTGAGTTCAATCCCCAATTCCGCAAAAAACCTGATGAATATACAAATACCTAATATATAAATTCAACTCACACTCTTAAAATCTGTAGAAGTAAATTTTTAATGGCTGGTTAATTATATCACTACATTTTTATTGCAATATAGTACTCATTTAAGCACTTAAAAATGGAAGGTGTACAAAGATTAAATTAAGACACGGTAAATTACTAAATATTTGGTTTTTATATATAAATAAAGGTCATAACCACACTGTTGACATGTAATACTGTTATAATACAACAGTTAAACTTGTGAGTCTACAACAGAAGTCATCTGTAGTTAAACAGGAAACAAAGTTGAAAAAGACCATGTTAAAACAAAACTACTGGGACTAACAGGTTGGGATTGTAAGTAGCAACAAACATATTCACTCAGCTCCTGAGTATTTCAAGTTTTACAGTACACATTAAAAATGATTTTTTCCATCAACACTATAAATTCAAACTGTCGGATGTTTATGCATTTTGCAAGTTACACTGATTGAATGCCTGTATGGGAGCAGGGGTTGGAGCATCTCCCAATTTGAAGTTTACATCACCCACATGCTAACACAAACACAATTTGTTCCATTTCCTTCCCCACTGTCCCCTGACAAAGAAGGCTGGAGTTTTTGGTTTCTTTTAGGTAACTTTTAAAGGATTTCGGATGATCAATTTGAATGTCTGAAATTCAGTAATATTGAACTCTTAGACAACTAAGAGGTTAAAGATGGAAAATAATTTCTCCTAACACTAAGTTAGAAAATTATTTGCATCATGCTGTAAACTAGGAAGCAATGTAAAGCGACAAAAACCTGTCCCCAGTACATAATTAAAAAAAATCTAAATTTCAAATCTGCAGAGCTGGTCTACTTCCATGTTGACTAAATGCCACAATATAGTGTGAGCTCTTGAAATGCATAGCTAATGTAGGTAGTCTTCCACTGTGGCAAATGCACAGGACCCAATTCCAGATCGAGCCATCAGTCCAAGACATTGTGTGGCCTGTCCCATCGCTAGGGCAAGTGGAGGTTGCTTTGGCAGATTGTGGGTTTCTGAAGAAAAAAGATTAAAAAAAAAACAAAAAAATGGAGATAACAATTAGTTTTTTTTTTTAAATATAGCTCAATCAGGATGATACCAAGTTTAACACAATTATCAGTGGCAGTATGACTCTTTAATTCTAGCAGAGGCAGACTGGTGCTTGGACATTCCATGACAAGGTAGTATGGCGTATGGCACTGGGTATCCAACAGTAAGGAAACTGCCTAAAGATTAAAATCAGGTAGTCAGAAAGTTCCCTTGCCTGGGATGGGATGGGGAATAAGGAATGTGTGTCAAATATTGATCAAAGTCAGCTGACATTGACAGAAAAGCAGCAGGTTGACATTATCCACTGACAGGTTCTTTCACCTGGCTGCACACCATCTCTGACACACACTGGTGGGTGAGACGTTACTCAGGAGCAGGTGGTGGTGGTGGTGGTGGTGGTGGGCAGAGAACAGAGGCAAAGCCATCTCCACCTCAAGATTTACAGGGGTTAATTCACAACTGATGGTTCAGACATTTTAAAAAATTGCCAAGTTTTTAAATGCTACATATCACAAGTTTGTCAGCTGTGGGAGAAATGGTGATAATTACCACAGCTTATCTCTTGCCGGAATGAAAAGAAACGAACTTATAGTTCAATTTATGGCGGTGTGATGGGAAGCTGGCAATGTTTGTGTTAAGTCTACATCCAAACGGTATAAGGCTTCTTGGTACACTCGCCAACCAATTCCTTCATAAACTAACTACACTCCCTGGTTCAGATTTCACAACATGGTGACAGGAAAAATAAGGGAAAATTTCCCAAGCAAATGCAGCAAAAGATAAAAAAAGATGTGCAAATACAGGGAAAGTAAAAGGAATAAGAATAAACAAAGGTACATATAGATTAGTGAGAAAAGTGGTTTTAAAAAAGTGGTCTGTGAGATAAAAGTATTAAAATAGTAACTTAATGAACATTGAACAGTTAATATAAAAGGCTCACAGGGAAACTAATATCTTGGTCCAAGGAGGTGAGAGGTTCACATTCACTGTTTTTGTTTGGCTCCCAGAGGCAAGTGGTTATAAGCATCTTTAAACTTTCTGGACACAGAAAATATATGAGGCTTATGTATATAACCTTGCCGTTAATTTACAGGAACTATATACATTTAAAATAATTCAACACTATTTATAGCTGACGCTCTGCAGTACAGCACTTGTGAGTACGTGTACCTTGGATAATGGTTCTAATTCCTTTGAGAATCCCCCTCACCCCAAAAACGTGGCCATTCCCAAATTCTTTTCAAGAAAATGTAAGACATTAACCAAAGGAACTTCATTTTACTATATATGCAAATTCACAGTAAAGTGTAACAGGAATTATTTCCAGATGTATTAGTCCTTACATAATGAATTAACTTAAGAGTGAAGAAACAGCTATGTAGGAGTACTTCACACTGTTTCCTTCATGCTCCTGCCTGCTGTGAGGGTCCTGGCCCTCATTACGGGTCTTAGAAGGGTAGCTCAGACAGGAGACTTGTAATCTACTCCGTGACACTGCCCTAGTTTTCCTAAAATAGAATGAAACATGTGACTAAAAGTTCCCAAATCTAAGGGCCAAACAGCACAACACAGACTTGCAGACTGGCCTAGAGTCCCATTTTACCCAGGGCATTAGAGGTCCTATGCAAAAATCCCTCTAATCTGAATTTATCTTTGAAGAGCACTGCCCAGAAATTGAAATTTTCACAGAACGAGCCCCATGGAGTTCCACAAGAATGCAGAAATGGGCGTAGACAGGCACACACATATTGTTCTCATCCTGCCGTGCGTTGAGTGCTCCTCACTTCCTGCACTCCTCTGGCTAAGCCTTGCTATTTAAACTGCTTTCCTCTTCCTCACCCTGTTCTTTTGAGTAAGGACATGGAGCTCAATTTGGTCAGCTTAATGCAATTTAAATTTAATTCCAAGGGTTGGTGTTGATGAGGTGCTCTGGGGGAGCCCTGTATGCCTGTCTTAAACATGCAGGGAACATGATAGCAGGTAGGTAGCTCAGGTCACCTCTGTCCCTGGTAAACACCACAGGCCTGGAGGCAAGTATGAAGGAGCAGTTGGCCACCAGCCAGGAATCCTGACCCTTCCAACCATTCAGACTTCCCACATGTTCAAGCTCTTTTCCCTTCTCATCTCACTAGGCCATCAAATCCTCTGCAAGTTTTCTGACCATTTTCTGTTAAGTTTATCCTGCTTTCCTCTAGGCTTGGTTCTCTTGTGAGCCAAGTGTTAGAACTGTGTTGTCATTAATACCCCAAGTTCCACAGCCAAGTCTCTTAAAAACCTAGTTCTGACCAACCTGCTACAGAGGAGGGTCCCACCCTACCCGGGTCTGTACCACTGCAACACCAGACTGGTTTCTCAGTTAGGCTGTTACAAGTTAACCCTTTATTCAGTCCCTGTTCTATCTGTCCTGCACTGGCTCTGATCCGCATCTCCACTACCTCCTGCAACTTGTAACTTCTCTGCCTGATTTCTCAAACAGGAGGCCAACTTCCAGTGGCCACACACACCCCTCAGGTACTAGTGGCAGCTTTGGTGCAGCCAACATGACCATTTACATGGGTGCCCCTCACTCCCAGCCTAGACATGAGTGGTGGAAAATAATTCTCTTTAGTTTTAACACAAGAAACCCCCAAATATCTCTAAGTGAGGTGTTTCATGGCCATCAGAAGTGCTTACATGCACATGCCTCTGCAAACAGTCACAGATGCGCCCCAGCCCCTACCCCTAGAATCCAAGCAATCTAGATTTGGGGTAACAGAGGAAGGTTTCTGTATTTTGAGGTAATTTTGTGTGCCTGGAAGATGCTTGCAAGTGCCAAGCAAGTGTGCTACAGAAGAGCTATACCAATCTGATTTCATGTGTTAAAAATAAAACAGCCAGGTGCGATGTTGCATCTCTGTCAACCCAACTTCTTGGAAGGCTGAGACAGGAGGGGTGAGTTCAAGGCCAGCCTGGGCGGTACAGTAACAATACTGTTTTTAAAAAATGTGCACATGGACATAAATGTTTCCCTTATGATTTTATCAATATAAATACCTTCTCACATAATCAGGAGAAAAGTTGAAGTTGTGCTTTTTGGCTTCACTCACCTAATATTGCACTGTTGAGAGCTGAGCACACAGGTTCTCTCTGAATTGGGTCAAGCTGATTTCCAACCGGACTATTCCAAGGATCTGAGTATGCTAGTAAACTGAAGGCATCCTGTTGAAAACAATGTAGTTTTTAATTCAGAT